ATTCCTGCTTCACAGATACATTCGGTTAAAATCATTTGAAGTATGTATAGCTTGACTGGCTTATTAATCGATCCAGAGTTTGTGTTCGACTGCAAATTCGAACAAATGCAGGTTCAGGGTTTGTGTTTATCCAAAGAACAAAAACCCAATCTTTTTTTCCTTTTCCGGGCATAGCTGACTGACTCGAACAGGTTTTGTTTATTTTATTACTATGATTTATTCATCTCTACTATACATCCCTATAGTAATTCAATTTCATAATGGCATGATACGAGAGCCTAGAACTGTGAATTTCCCTGTTCATAACGATGTATCTTTTATGTTTAGAGGCCAAAGATATAAACAGAACGAGATGCGGCAGTGCCTAGAAAGCATTATAGAACGCGTACCTGGAATTATCTCAGCAGTTAAGCCGGAGATGTGGCAGATGGGTTCTCTGGCTGAGATGATGCGGCTGTGGATTGTACAAGCATCAAGTTCGTCTATGTGTTTGATCGATTCTAGAAGCTGAGTAGTAGATTTATCATTGAGGACGTCGGAAATATTCAGCAGAGCATCTTCTAGTCCCGAGTTTGACCATAAGTAGGCACACTCATCCAGAAAACCCAATAGGTTTGATCCTGGATCTAATAAAATCCATGGTTTATATACTTTGGTTGTGGCTACAAGGATTTTCGTCACTCTGTAAACTTCCCCCAGTGCAAGAATATAGCTTCTCCCTGTGAAAATGGAATGTGTCAAAAACTGAAAATTTCTTGAAATCCAAAAACATGATGTGCCCAGTATAGTACCTTGAGATGCAGATAGGATTTGCTTTTGAATGTTCTTTTCCTGCGCCTGCTTCCAAATAGACACGGCATGTCTCAATTCTTGAGCACAGACCGAAGCAATGGTGGACCAAGCTGAAGTGTATTTGGACTGCTGCTCAGATGAGCCCAAGTTCAGGATTTTCAGAGTCAACGTCGAGTGTTTCAGAAGTTCAATCATCAAATTGCAATCCTGCTCTGCCTGTGAAGGAATTCATATTTTGTTAAGCCAAAAATTTGAATGAATGTTAAAGATCTTGCGTTAAGAATGTTTGGTACATAAACTGAACTTGAATGGACTTTACCGATAGCAATCTCTCTGACAGGTGATATTCTGAATCCAGTGCTCGAAATTTTGGCTCTTTGAGGGTGGTAATAAATTCTCTAATGCCAGAGGGTCTCGGTTGGAGACTCTCCAAGTTGACTTCACTGATCAGAACATCCTCGTCCAGCTTTTTCTGCAGATCCTAAAAAGCAAAGGTAACCAAAATCAGTAAAAGAACAAAGCAATACACTGCACGGAAACAGATATCAAACTCTTCCAAGTTCTACATGAAATTTGCGCTGAACTTGTTTCTGTTGTCTGAACGTCCCCCGGATTTGAATTCTAGATGAGCAAAATACATATTGCAGCATTCCCATTGTAAGCTGTAAACTGTTATTGGGAAAAGCAGTGAATCCACCTACCCGAATTTCCTCATCACGTTTTTTTACTTCAGTGCCTTCACTGGAATCAGTAAATAAGCTACGAGCTTCCTGCAATTTCCAAGAGTTAAAAAGAGTAACGTAAAATTTACAGAACGGCGAGTACTAAGGAAATAGGAAGTGGAAGAATGTAGAGTCCAGAAAGGTAGGCTGACCTTTAAATTTTCCAGATGGTTTAGAGCAGCATAGCACAATTCAGTCTTTAGCTCATCAAAGAGATCCCGGAAATCATTCACTTCTATGTTGAAGACTTGTTTTTCGTGTTGTTCAGTATTACCAGCCGGAGCAAAGGTTTGAGTCGGGGTAGCATTTCCCAAATGACTGTGATCTCCTTTCATAGGCTGCGTTGGACCTTGAAACTCCCAGGAATCATCGTCAAAATCATCTACATCTTTTGATGCATCTGGGATCAAAATGGACTCTGCGGGACCTTGAAACTCCCAGGAATCATCCTCGGCATCTGCCAAGTTAAAATCAGTGACAGTCTTTCTGGTTTCATCACCCTTTTCAGTAGTCCTCTCCTCCACTTGATTGTATAAACTCGATATCAGATCACTGATGGATATACTTGGACCAGGTGCCTTAGGTTTACCCCTTGAGTAGGAATCATGGTTAGAAGAGGGAATGTCTTCGTAAACCATGGGATCGGAACTTTCAAGATCTTCTTCGCCGAAAAGGGACAGTGCCAACGGTCCCTTAGGCTTCTCTGGTGGTACTTCTTTCTTCTGAGTGAATAGATGTGAAAAATAAACATTTATCATACACATAACAATGACTTCGATCAGGAAAATGTAGAAAACATAGGTCTTCAGATTTTGTACACGACGGAAAAGGAACACTAAGTAGCACATATTCCGGCGAAGTTTTATAAAAGGAAGCAAACGAATCAGGTAGAAATGATCAGCAAGAAAACTACGACAAAAGGCCACTACCCGGGTCAAATAGGTTCTACTAAAAAAAAGTTCAATATAAAGTGGCTATTAAGATTCATTCAAGACAAATATGAACAAATGTATTGATCACCAATAGATTCCTAACGCGAGCTGCATATTCTGGGACTCTTATCACATTTTGAAAAATAGATGTGGTAGATAAATGAATTTCAAAGTATGAGACTTGGTGGGAACAAGGACCTCGCTTAGCATGTCAAACAAATTATTACCTGTACAGCACCACCAGATAAATGTGTCTGGAAGTTAGCAGGAAGAAAATCAGGAAAGCTTAGCTTTTCCTGAAGAGAAAGTGGAAAACAAAATTCAATATCCACATTCTGTCCAGATAATTACATGGTTTATTGATGCATTACCTCATTCAGTGTACCAGTTTGTGAAGATGACGGCTTAAATGCCCAGGTTGTTTCTTCAGAATCGCTATGAAAAAAACTTGGAACAGTTTCCCTCTCATACTGCTGGATTTGAGAGTTCAAATTAGAAATGGTGGTGGTTTCACTTTTAGACGTCGGATTGAAGTCAAATCCAAAGGCCCACCCATCAGATTGTTGAGAAGACACAGCAAATAAATCATTAACTTGGGGTGCTCCATTCTCGAATCCAACGGTGAATTCACCACTTCTACCATCCTTTTTATCATTCCCTTCAACCTAAACACTGGAAAGTCTCAGACACGACATAAACAATGGGGTTCCTACATGCACGTGAATGAGTCTTCTGTTAAATGTTGCTCATACCTTACTTGTTATATCATTCTTCATTTCTCCTGGTTCGGCAACCTTGAATTCCCATCCACCGTTATCCCAAGAATCATCATCTCCATTTTCCAAATCAGAAACTGAATTAACTGCATCTGTTTTACAGTTATTGACATTGGGGCCTATCCCATTTGTAGGTAAACTCCAAAAGTTCCAACTCAAATTCGATGCATTAGAAACCACAGCAAGTTCACTTCCAGCCGCCTTCTGTTTCTCCGGCTTGAATACAATTATACGATGAAAAAGGACATTAGAACACATTACTGACCAGGTCAGCATAGAATTTCAGCTAATTGAGTTTTTCAATTCTGAAGCATAAAATAAACAACACCATAGATTCACCTGACTAACTGAAAAATCTACAAGCATCCAACACACTTGACTCAATCACCAGTTAAGAAAAGATGCTCAATGCAACACAAACGAAGCAATTTCCTATTGCTAGATTCACAATGGCCACAAAACAATACGAAAGGGAGATGGCACAAATTATGATTACCTTAGAGTCTCCATCTCTTATTTGTGAATTACACTCAGCAGTTTTGAATTCCCACCCATCATCTTCATCAATGTCATCGTTCTGATCAACAAAACCCTGATTTGAATCACTCGGATCCAACATCACCTCACTAGAATTCATCCCATCACTCTTTGGTCCAAACCTTTGCGTACCACAATTCGATGGATTCCAGCTCAAATTCTCCAAGCTAATAACTGGGTTTAGAGTTTTTTGGCTCAAATCAGTGTCCTTTACTTCTAAATCAGAGTTCCACTCAACCGAACCCAATTTCGGTAAATTTCCATCAAAATTTGCTGAATTCCACTGCGTATTCTTCTTTTTATCCGTGCCGAAATGGCTCGGATTATTATCCGATAACGAATTCAACCCGTTTTTCAACTTGTTCTGCCCGTTGTCCCTATACAAATTTTCTATCAAATCATTGATTCCAACATTTGGATTCGTACTCACTACTTTATTGGCAGATCCATTGCCGTTATTGTGCTTACTAGAAATCGAATCCAATGAGAATCTTAACGACGGAACCGACGCACCTGATCCATCCCTTTCTCCTTCTTCCTCCTCCGCTTCTCCAAACACCGACAATGGCACCGGGCCCCGAGGCTTCACCCACTGACCCTGACTTGATTCGATCCGACTCGGCGCCGAGTCGGGCTCAGCAACCTCCGATGAGTCTGTACCATTGCGATCCGTGACGAATCTGTTTAAATCCGGCGGCAGATATCCCGCGCGGGAAACAGAAACGGAAGATTCGACGAAGTCTCCCCAATCATCATCGTCTTCGTTCCTATCCGCCTCCACGGAGGCGGAAGCGACGGCGGAAGACGTCGCCGTGGCGGTGATTCCAGCAGACGGAGCGGGAAAGAAGAAATCCAGGCCGTTCTTTTGATCGGCAAACATGTTGACGATGAGATCCGATTCGAACATGAAGTTTCCGGCAAGAATCTCCGCCGTCGATAGCGGTCCGCCGTTTCTTTCTCCGTGAGCGGTGCGCAGGATAGCTCACCCCGCGCACTTGTCCTCGCGCGTATCTGGTTTATTTTTCCTCTTTATATTTTATTTATCATTTATAAAACAAAGCAAAAAGCTTTGATACTATAATACTAATTATCTACTACATATAAAATGTAATCTTTGTAAAAATATCCAATTTTTTTAAATATAATTCTAATATACTAAAAATATCAAAATGAGTAAATACATAAACAAATGTGCATCACAATTTTAAAGGTGTTTTATATACATTATCAAATTAGATTATGAAAATTTTCTTTATAGTACAAAAATTATATTATAATTAACCCTTAATTTTTTTCGGATTTGGATAATAATATTTCTCTCGTATTTCCTAAGAAAATGGATATAACACATGGAGTTGACACCCAATAATTATGTAATCAACGAAATTGACGGTTGATGCCCGTTTTTAAATGAATTGTCTTTTAAACCTTTTGGTCATATATCATTATGATTAATCTAATCGAAAAAAATTGAACTCTAAATTCATATTTTTCTAACGCAAACGCGCAACATTTTTTGGTTGCAAAAGTGGGGGATCATACACATTACAAGCTCGACTCCGTTTGGTTCGTAGTTCCGTATTCGCATCTCTTTTGAATATATTTAAATATATAACACTAAAGTTTATATAATAATAAATATTAGAAACTAACCTACATATATTTATAATTTATTGTCTTATCAATATAATAACAAAAATAATTCTATCATGGCGAATCTTTCCGTTTCAAGAAACACGATCTTTCCCTCCACTCAAATTTATTCGCAGCACTTAGTTTATTACCAAAATCCGTTAGCAAACAAAACAAGAAACAGAACCCACTCTTGCTTCATCCATGGTTAAACAAAGAGAGATCTCTGTGCACCATAACACAACCGCATGTCCATTCACCGCTTTCGCGCGCACACACAAAAAAAAAAAACACATCGGTCTCACAAGGCCATAAACCAGCAAACCAATCCCATTAACCCGAACCCAAACCCTAACCCCACGGTCGCGACTGGGCTCGCTCCGCTTGCAAAGCTCCCTGCCGGAGTGTTCGTGGTCAGAACCACGACCATCCACTCGTCCTCCGACCCGACACCCGCCCCTACGTACCTCGAATCGTTCAGGTACTGCGAATAAGCCGTGTGCGTGTAATTTGTCAGGACTAAGGTCGGGACCCTCTTGGGCACGCAAACGGGTAAGATCAAGCCGTCTCGGGTTTTGTTCGGATCGATCTTGCACTTGGAGAGCAAGTCTTGGTAATTAGATATCCTCGGAGGGACCGAGCCAGGGACGACGTCGTTTAGGGCTGTGTGGTTGGTGCACGGCTCGTCTTCGAGCTTGTCCGCTATCTCGTCGGCTAAGCAATCTGCCTTGTCGTTCTTGGAGAACGGCGCAAGCCTTTGAGCGGTTCGGTAGCTATTGAGGCCTTGCAGAAGATTGTCCTCTTCTTCTGAAAATATATATATGTGTGTATATACATATATATATATATAGCTGTTACTTGCGAAAAGACTGACTAACAAATACATGCAACCCTTATCCAATTTGCCTCTAAACAAGTCTAAACACGAGCCACAAACCATATGTGGTTATATGAGGATCTCATGCAAAAATCGAAATAAAAAATATTATTAACCTATGCTTATGTATGAATAAATTATAATGTATATAGATCATCATCAAATTAGATATACGGTCCTAAGATTCGTACTATAATAATGCGCATTTTCCATCAGGAAACCATAAAATATACATTTGAAAATAATAAGAAAATTGTCTGATCCTAGAAGATGATATTTAGATAAATCATGTGTATGTTAATACAAACTAAGGCCAGCCAAAGTCTAAACATGTATATACATGCGTTCAAGTATAAATAAATACATATATGTATGCATATATACACACACATGTTATGAGTAGAGTGTAAATACCATTGCAAAGGCCAGAAGAGGAGGCGAACAACAAAACAGAAAGAACAAAGACAGTGAAGGAGCAACCGATCTTGGGAAGAGACACCATTTTTCTTCTTCTTAATCTTCACACAGTGTTATTCCTTCTTCTTATGATTTTTTTTTTTTAATTTCTCAGTGTGTCTTTTATTTCACTTTGTTTTTTTATATGCTGTAATTAAGGAGAGATCAGAGGAACGAGAACAAAAGAAGGAGCTTCGAATTTGTCGGGCCTTATATATATGTCCGAATCAGATCTTGATAATGTTGCTGATAAGAATTAAGCTAATTTTGAATAGTTTCGAACAGGTGTTACGAATTCACGCCATCTATTAAGGCGGGTTCTTGCCACGTGTCTTGCATGCAGAGAATGTTCATGCAAAACAATTTTTTTCCCAATTTTTATTTAAAAGCATTTACAAAACAAATACGTGAAACTCGTTAATTTTGTCCCCGTCACACGGATCACCGTCCGGTCCCATTTACGAACACGTGTACGTCCTCACCCGCTGCATTGCCACGTCATCTATCTATGTTCACTTCTACGTCACGTGTCATTACATACGTAGATATATAATTGTATATATATACACACATGTCCATGCTTCTCTCTTTAGGTGGATATAAATGCATGTGTTGGGCCGGTTGGCGTATTCATCACGAACCGTATCGAGCGCCTCGCTTTCGTTTTCTCGGCTTCCACATAGATCCTGCAAAGTACCTAGTGATCATTTTCCCGGAAAATTCAGATTTCGCGAGAAAGAGAGAAAAGGGAAGAGGAGGTAAGTTAGTTTGGGTGAGAGCAATGTCGACGGATCAGTTTCCACGACAGAAACAAGAGACACAACCAGGCAAAGAACATGTCATGGACCCTATCCCCAAGTTCGCTAGCTCCGATTACAAACCTTCCAACAAGTTTCGTGTAATTAAATTAATATTTATTTAATCTTGATTCACTTTAATCGTGCAAACATATATCATATTGTATATTTATGCATGCGTGCGGTATACTTTTATCGGTTGTCGTAACATTTCGATTTGACCTATACGTAACATGTGAGATTAGAAGTTAAGAGCTGTGTTTGGTTAGTTTGCATGCACGTGCGTATATGAATATGATAGGCATGTTTACGAACATATACATGTATATATATTCCATATGTATGTACCTGTGTATCCATACATATAGAAGTAGAAGTCATATGTATCTGCCCATGCATAGACGTAAAAACACGGATATAGATACATGTATATATTCCACATCAATATGTCAAACCAATACTAACCTTCCTTGCAAAACACGCATATGTAAACTACGAAGGGGAAAGTGGCGTTGATCGCCGGCGGAGATTCCGGCATCGGCCGGGCGGTCTGTCACTGCTTCGCCCTGGAAGGCGCCACCGTGGCATTCACGTACGTGAAAGGCCAGGAGGAGAAAGACGCACAAGATACTCTACAGATGTTGAAGGAGGCGAAAACCGACGAGGCCAAGGACCCGATATCGATTGCGACGGATTTAGGGTTTGACGAGAATTGCAAGAGGGTGGTGGACGAGGTGGTGAATGCGTACGGACGGATCGACGTCCTGATAAACAACGCGGCCGAGCAGTACGAGAGTAGCACCATCGAGGAGATCGATGAGCCGAGGCTCGAGCGTGTTTTCCGCACCAACATCTTCTCATACTTCTTCCTCACCAGGTATATATATATATATATATATTTGGTTCATTTTATTATTTGTTTTGTTCTAACGCCATACGTACATGTGGTTTAAATTCCAGGCATGCATTGAAGCACATGAAAGAAGGGAGCAGCATAATCAACACGACGTCGGTGAACGCGTACAAGGGCAATGCTTCGCTTCTGGACTACACGGCCACGAAGGGAGCGATCGTGGCATTTACCCGAGGCCTCGCCCTTCAGCTCGCCCAGAAAGGTATCCGCGTCAATGGCGTCGCCCCTGGACCCATATGGACTCCGCTCATCCCGGCCTCTTTCCACGAGGAGAAGACTCAGAAGTTCGGAGAAGAAGTCCCAATGAAGCGAGCCGGCCAGCCCATCGAGGTCGCGCCCTCGTACGTTTTCTTGGCTTGCAATCACTGCTCGTCTTACTTCACCGGCCAAGTCCTCCACCCCAATGGTAAGTAAAGCTTAGCAGTGTGTATTCTGACCGGTTATATCGATCGGTTCGGTTAAAAAAATATTTACCAATTACCCGAATATCATAACGACTACCCAATCTAAGAAACTCTCGGCATAAAAATGAACGGTTACATGGTTTTTCGAAGTATATGATTACTTGATTAATGGTGTTTTTTCCTAATTGTGTAGGAGGCGCAATCGTGAACGCGTAAAGACCGATACATGCGATCTAAAGACAGTAACGTGTCGATCTTAGTTGAAATGTAAGAACGTGTGAAGTTGTAATAAAATGTGTTTGGGACTTATGTTACGGCCAATATGCCCGATTACGTCTATAAGAGTGTTGTCACAATTATATATATATATTTATGATTTAATCTTGACGGAATCCATAATAACTAGGTTAAATAATAATAATAATAATAATGATGATAATAATAATAATGATAATGATAATGATTACCCTATAGATCCGTCTGAAATTGTGGAAATATATATTTTTGAGAGTATTGTTTCCTTTTCATCACAACAGAATGCTAGGGTTAGGATTAAGAGTTTAATTAGGATTAGGTCCGCTAAGACCGACAATGATCTTTATTTGTTTTCTTTTCCTCCCACTTCCTATAGGATTAGTGACTGTTGATTTCGTCCTTATAAACAAGAGTCTCCTCTCGTTAAGTTACTTTTATCCCACGAAACTCGAAAGAAACTTTCTTGCCTGTCAAGTTAGGTAAGTACTTCGAAACATCGTCTTGTTTGATGAGGGTTAATGTCAGCTCCTTACCGATTTGATCGCTCTCTACTCTTCGTCGCAGACAACGTTAAGGTGTCTTGAACATGGTTTCCAACTCTTCGGCAATTCACAGTTGCCCATCGACGACGATGAAAGCGACGTCCAACGGGATTTTCCAGGGCGATAATCCGTTGGATTTCGCTCTCCCTCTCGCGATATTGCAGATTCTGATAGTGGTGGTTCTAACCCGCGGTCTCGCCTATATTCTCTGGCCTCTGCGTCAGCCTCGGGTCATCGCGGAAGTAATCGTGAGTACCTAATCTCCTCACTCCCCTTCGCTTTCATTAACTGACTGTTACCCCAGTTTTCAAATACCCTCCTGGTTACATTCTCAGGGCGGAATTCTACTAGGCCCCTCGGTTCCGGCCGTTCCAAGACTTACCTGACCGCAGTTTTCTCATCCAAAAGCCTGACAGTATTAGAAACTCTAGCAAATATTGGCCTTCTCTTCTTCCTCTTCCTCGCCGGTCTAGAGATTAATACCGCTGCCCTTAGACGAACCGGGAAGAAAGCTCTCGCCATTGCCATGGCAGGGATATCCCTCCCGTTTGCTATGGGAGTTGGGTCTTCGTTCGTCCTCAAAGCAACAATATCAAAGGGTGTGGACAGCACATCGTTGGCTCTGTCCATCACTGCATTCCCTGTTTTGGCCCGTATCCTAGCCGAGCTCAAGCTTCTCACTACCGATATCGGGCGGCTGGCTATATCAGCAGCAGCGGTCAACGACGTGGCAGCCTGGATTCTCCTTGCTCTGGCCATTGTCCTCTCGGGAACCAGCAATTCCGCACTCATATCTCTCTGGGTATTACTCAGCGGATGCGGTTTCGTCATTTGTGCTGTTATCGTTCTTCCCCCGATCTTCAAATATATCGCCCGTAAGTGCCAAGAGGGACAACCGATAAGCGAAACATACATATGCCCGACTTTGGCTATCGTTCTTGCATGTGGCCTCATCACAGACGCAATTGGAATCCATGCCATGTTCGGAGCCTTTGTGGTGGGAGTTTTGATCCCAAAAGAAGGACCTTTTGCCCAGGCCCTCGTCGAGAAAGTCGAGGATCTAGTTTCGGGTCTCTTCTTGCCGATATACTTTGTGGCGAGTGGCCTTAAAACGAACGTTGCCACCATTCAAGGCCTTCAGTCATGGGGCCTACTGGTTCTGGTCATTTTCACGGCTTGTTTCGGGAAGATTGTTGGCACTCTCGGGCTGTCCCTCCTATTTAAGATGCCTGTTCGTGAAGCTCTCGCGTTGGGATTCCTCATGAACATGAAAGGGTTGGTTGAACTGATCGTGCTCAACATCGGAAAAGATTGAAAGGTACGGATGTTCTTCCGCATAACTAACCCACCATCCATAACATGTCATTCATCCATCCCTGTTAGAATCATGGAAGATTGAAAGATTAAACATTTCTGACCCGTTACGACTTTTCTCAGGTCTTGAACGATCAGATATTTGCCATTATGGTTCTGATGGCTCTCGTCACAACGTTCATGACGACTCCGATCGTCATGGCTGTATACAAACCCACAAGAAGATCCAAAAAACCCACCGAGCGGAATCACAAGTCACTCGAGCACCGTAATCCCGACATGCAACTCAGGATCCTCACCTGTTTCTACACTACCAGAAGCATCCCGACAATCACAAACCTCCTCGAGGCCTCGAGAGGCGTCAATAAAGGCGAGGGGCTCCGAGCTTATATGTTGCACCTGCAGGAACTCACTGAGAGATCTTCAGCCATAATGATGGTTCATAATGTCTGCAGAAGTGGGTTTCCGTTCTTGAACCGGAGAATCATTGCCCAAGGTTCAATCTCAGATCAAGTCAAGGTGACCTTTCAGGCGTTTCAGGAGCTGAGCACAGCGAGTCTCCGTCCAATGACGGTGATCTCATCAATCTCCGACATCCATGAAGACATCTGCGAGACGGCGCGTAGAAAGCACGCCGCCATCATAATCCTGCCGTTCCACCAGCACATACGGCTCCCCCGAGCACCGCTGGGTCAACCGCCGCGTTCTACAGCACGCGCCGTGTTCCGTCGGAATATTCGTAGACAGGGGATTCGGAGGACCCATTCACGTCGTGAGCCAAGACGTCTCCTACTCCATCGCGGTTCTGTTCTTCGGCGGTCGCGACGACCGTGAAGCGTTGGCTTACGGATTACGAATGGCGGAGCATCCGAGAGTCTCCCTGACAGTCGCCCATTTCGTGGTTTCGCCGGAAAAATCCGCAGATGTAGTCCGGATCAACGTGGACGAAGACAACGACGGCGAATCGCGAAGTAGAATAGTCAGTTCTGACGAGGATATCCTGTCGATGATCAGAGAAACGGCGTCAGAGGACGAATCGATCCGGTTCGAAGAGATCCGAGTCAATAGCACCTTCGAAGATGTCAGATCTGCGATCAAAAAGCTGCGACGGAGAGATCTGATCGTGGTGGGTCGGATGCCAGGGGGGGGGGAGATCGCGATGGCGATTGAGGGAATCGGAGAGTGCCCGGAACCGGGACCGATCGGGAATCTGTTGATCTCCCCGGAATGTTCGATGAGTACGGCATCGATTCTGGTGGTTCAGCAGTACAGAGGCGACGGAGCAGCGCCGGATTTGGCTTCGACTGCGGCGGAATCTTCTTCATCTTCTTCGCAGGATAGAGTCTAATTTTTTTTCAAAACATATTTAAAAAAAAGTCTTTTGCAAAGTTGTAAAAGGATTCGATTTAATATGAAGGTGATTTCATTCAATAGAAGAAAAAACGACATTTGAAGCACCTCTTCAGTAGTCAAGCTTCATATACGATTTCCAATATTTAGAATCTGATCCGATCCGTAATCAATTGATCTCGAAATTATTGTTGACAAATATTCGAAAAAGATCCGTTGTAGGGTGAAGAGTCACCAAAGCGATTCAACGACTAATTTAACGGGTTTTAATCGAGATGGCGATAAAAAGGAAGTCCACATTCCCAAGTTCTTTCCGACCAGGTGAGGCCCGGACCGATGCCGGTTCTCGATATTTCCGACAACCATGATATAGAGTACCTATATGCGCTTGGCTCATACTTTAACATAAACAAAATAGGGTTCTTGAAGGAAACAACAGATTCTCCTCTTTCTTAATTTTTAACTTCTCTCTTATATGTTTTTTTTTTATGATCTTCTGGGTTTTGCAGCTCAAGATTCACTTATGAACAATGTTATTGTTCATATCTTCTTGACTGTGCCGGCAAGAACACCGTCCGATCCGAACTGGCCGTCGAATTCTTCGCTATTCACAGGGCCTGGAAGCTGGAACGAGACTGTAAAATGTCCAGGCGGGCATAGGTTCTGCGTCAGCATCTTGAAAACCTGAGAATCTCTGCACACAGTCTTCTCTCCCGTCATTGTCACTCCCTTTATCAGAATCTTGCCATCAGGCTCGATGTCACAGCTGAAATCCTCTGGATATTAAAACAGCACGTTAAATTCGACGGTCACAGGGCATTCCGGACGAAAACGTCTAAAAACAATCTAGCAAAACCTCCGAACTTGTTACAGTTCAGAATGAAATCTCTGAAATTAAATCAATTGAAGTTACCATATCCGCTGACTGACTTGATACTAAACTCTGCCGCAAAAGGTTCAACGAAATGCAGAAGAATAGTTTTGGAGAGTAATTGAAACTTCACACAGATTTGGAAAGGCATCGGTATCGGACTTACTTTCATCTCTCGATACGCCTGGCAGCGAAACACGAAAGAAGTACGAGTCATCATTTTCAGCGATATCCACCAAACCAATGGCTGGTCCGATTTTCCCCATGGCCGCACTCCCCGTGAGGGCAACTCCAGTTTTGGTTTGGCCTGCAAGTTCAGTGAACTCTGCAGCTGATTCAGAAGGCAGAAATATCATAGCCGGCCCTCCTTTTTCCGCGTCGTCATTTTCCCTTCGACCTGACATGGGAGCTTGGTTGGTAGATGGACCGATGTATGGTACGCTATTCAACGGAGCCACTAAAAGAACCTGTTGGTTCCCGGTGTTTCCAGGAAGATTAGCGTTATTTCCGCTGTTGTAAGAACCTGAAGGCCTGCATGCAATACAAGAAGCCTTTTTTTTTATAGTGCAACCGGATATCACGTAAAAAAGGAACTCGGCTTTAAAACAGCGGCGGTCATCAAGTTTTTATAAAACGGCTCATCTTTAAAAGGTAATGGTTCTTACCAAGGTCTTAAAACAGCGGCGGTTGTTAGATTTTCAATAAGAGAGATAATATTTGGAACCCATAAACGGATATTAGCCGCGAATCTAGAAACAAAGAGAGCATAATCTTGAAGCCATTAAGGCTATTACCAACAGAAACTGTCAGATACAGTGGAAGAGCAAAATCTTCATCAAACAATGGTTATTACCATGACCCTTATAATTAGACATCGAAAGAGAGTTCAATCTTGATCCATCGCGACAATCACCAAGACCTAAAACTACAATGATCATCAGATTCAATAAGGGAACTCAATCTCAAATATTTCATAGCAATTATCGAGGCTTTAAAACTGTAGTGATTATCGAATCCTCTCACAGTGGCAATCGTAAGATTTGAAAAGCGAGTTAAATCTTGAGCACGTATTCAACAAGAGAGCTTGCCAAGGCTTTAAACCAACATGGATCAATAGACTCAAGCAGAGGACAAATTCATGAACACGAAATACTACTACCGAGATTTTAGAACACTGACCATTAGATTGATACGAGAGATAAACATGACATGTAGTGGTTGTTACCTAGGATTTTCGACAAAACCAATGCTACAAATGCTGAACCCCACATCTTAAGAAAACACTAATCTCCAAAACCGTCAACAAAACCTTCCATCTTTGGCATTCGTCAGCTCTCTCGTAACGCATATAAGCAATGCCAACACGCGTCATGAAGAAAACCGGCAATTGATATCGTGAGTTTAAAATCTCTCTTTAAGACCAGATTCTCCGTAACCAATATCCTCCTACACTACTCTACTCTCGCTCCACTTTCCAGAGCAAGAATATCTACTTCCGGGAAATTCCATCCAGAAATCAAACTCCTCACACGAAGATAAAAACCAAGGAAACATGATCAATCACCATTTCCTTTGATAACATCCAGTTCCTCGAGTCTTTTGAAACTTTCAAAGAGGAAACTGATGATGCTTCCATGGCTCCAGATCACACCAAAGGAATCAAAGTACAATAATCTGTGAAGTAAAGAAAGAAGGGTCTCTCAAGACATAAAGTTTGGCCACAGAATTATGTGGAGATCAATCAATCAATCCCTTTGTTCAAGTTTTCTGATCTAAGCAACTCAATCTGCTCGGCGACAACAAAATGCCAACGGAATCAACACATTCACGATTCGTTCTCGGAGCCATTACCAAGGATGATCCCAGGTACTCACTTATTACATCAAAGCTCAAGTCTTTTTTTCAAAAATTAAACTCATGCAAGAAATTTTCTTGATAATTCGAATCAAATTCACATTAACACCTTTGAAGGAGGAATCATCTCATCCAGTAAAAATGGAATAAATCCAAAGAGATTCTTCATTCCATGGAACACAAACCGCCAGTGCACCATAACCAACATACACACGTATATATATACACATACACGCGAGCTCACTCACAAGTATAAGTACATGCCAACACAAATAGAGGCGTTTTTGGGCAAAACCCATGTTCGTACCTCATAGGAGCCGCCGTGTAGGAGTCACCGGAGATTCCGAGAGGTGAGTTTTTCGAAGTTTGGTTTTTTTTTTTTTTTAAAGAGCGGAAGAGGGAAGTAATCAGGGGCTTGTGCCCTTCGGAGTAACTGCCCGAGCAACAGTGATGAAACCCTCGGAACGGCGAAGATTTATCTATAAGGCTAAGTAGACATAGTTTTACATCGTTATTTCGACTAATGATCGTACAAAAACTGGACAACAAGCTTCAATTCACCGTGATCTTCGCAAGCTTGAGACAGGAACAAACAGATCAAAACAAAAGAACAAAAGACAACGAGAAAAATTCCAGAGAAAAAAAAAAGAACAAAATTCACCTCTTTGATTTTCACAGAAATCTGCAGGAACACCGAACAAGGAAGAGCGAAGTAATCAGGTGCTTGTGCCCTTCGGAGTAACTGCACACGTGGACCAGTAAAAACGGAGAAAGTATGTCACCGAGGTAGTAGAATTACCATTGTACCCTTTGTCGCTAAATGTGTTTCGGTCGCTCCCCCTCTGTCCTGCCGGCGAGAGAGAGACCCACGAAAACAAAAGGCCAAAAAGAAAAACCAACCACCTTAATGCTCCAACAATAGAATCCTTAGTTGGTAGAGAAATTGAGTGAGGCAGGAACCTAAATTATCCTTCCGGTTAGTTTTCTTGATCCCAATTTTATGTATAGAGTCATCTATTTACTGATTTGGATTCTTTCTTGTTGTCTTCTCCTCTGGTTTTTGTTTGATCTTAAATTCTGCCGAAGAAGCTATGGTTACTTCATAATTTTCTACCCATTTGATAAGAAAATGGAAATTTTGCTCCGCCTTCGAACGTAAAAACGGAACGCGTGCAGTAATCTTGCATATTTTGGATGTGATTGATGCTGACAGTTCTAAATCTTCTGGGTTCTTTTGGGATTTGATGATGAACCCAATTTCTGGATAGGACCCAAAATCATCGCGAATTCTTGGTCCACGTTGAGGGTTGCTTTATTTTCACTGAAATTTTGAACCCCATAAAAGCTGCATTGTACTCTCGAACTGTATCTATACGAGTTTGAATTTATTCCTGTATACGCATATCTTCGAATATATGTGGATGTGTCTATATACGTATATAAGCATACAACATCTGCATCGTACTGTTAATCCATATGTATATGTGTTTGTATGTCTGCGTCCACGTTGATCTTTGTATCTACAAAAGCTTTGATCTTATTCAGCTACGCAATGTATCTGAATTGTGTATACATATACGTATATATGCACATGAACCTTCCTTCGTATAGACACGGCTATGGCACTGCATTGTCCACTGTAATCATGTCGCTTAAGGCAACCACTGTGTGCTAACTGAGATTTAAACACTCGAAAACCCTTGGTTTGTGATTGATAAGCTAAGTGACCATTTTCGGGTTTAGCCACAAAATCCAAGACCTAGTAAGATAACTCCAGTTTCGGAGTTAAATTTTAAGATCACATCGACAAAAAATGCTATATCTGTATGTAATTGTACATGGAAATAACTAATTATGTTTTACAGGTATAATCAGCATGGCTGAAATCGTATCTGCTCTGCCTGCCGAGAACTGGAAACAGCCGATCCTTCCACCAGCTAAGAAACCGAAACCAGCAATCGAGATAGATTTAAAAGATATGGAGGAGGACAATGTATTTCTCTTACACTTTGTCATGGGAACTTACTTTGGTCCTGATCTCAAGAACGAAAAGGATCGCCTGAAATCAGCATTGCAGAGAAAAGCGGAGAATCTCCCTTGTTATTCCTCAAACGATCTCACTGGCTCACTCGTGAAGCGAGTGGAGCTAGAAAACGTATACCTTCACATTCTCAGGAAGGCAGACCCATCACTGAGAGCGAGTTCCCGGTTGTTTCGTGAGTTCTTCCGTGGCCAACGCAAGGACGTCAACAAGGATATCCCTCTGTTCAAGGATCTATTTCCACTTTCTCTTCACCCACAATCCCGGATGGGGAACCGTTATGTCATAATCAAGAACATCACTTTCATTAACGACCCAGATACCTCTTATATGACGAGAGATGAGATTGAGCGGTTTAAGCGGCTGACGGGCTTAGAGTGCTTTCTTGTGGATATAAACGTAGAGTTTGTAACCAGGCCTGTCACACCTCTGGCTTTGCCTGATACTGACAACAATGTTGCAGAGGACAAGGTTGAGGTCAATGAAGAACCCGAGGATCGAAATGGCTGTCTTGCAGTGTCTGTCATAGGTGCGAGTGGAAATAACGTCGAAAATTGTGGGGACGTTAATCGGGGTTTGATATTTCTCCCTTCTTATACGAGCAATCAAGAACGGGCAAACGCCACATCGTCTGTAAAGTCCGGGTTTGATGTAACTGGTACAGCGGCTACAGGTCAGGTCGGACTGATGGACATTGGTGAATGCGATGATGCGTATCTCTTCCGGGTATCGCTTCCTGGGGTGAAAAGAGATGAAAGTAAGCTTCTTTTCACCTTATTCCTCTGGTTAAATGAGGAAAAATTCATGCACGCATTGAATAATTTTTCCTGATATAGAAAAATGGCTCTGTGTAATGTACCTAAGTTAAACCCTAATAACAATAATTACAATATAGTGCCCTTTTAATAATTTACAGGAAGTTTAATTCTTGTTTAGATGAGAAGATATCATGTTTTTAGTCTACATAAAGATCGCTGAATACATTCCGAAAATAGTAACAGCTTGCTTCGAATGATATGTTCCATATAAACCGACGTGAATATCGTAGTTTATGCACCGAGAAACGGTACGTTCTTGGTAGTTATATGCATCGATAGATCGATACCAACGGGAAAAATCGATATCTCTCTGGTTTACATGTTATACTTACGATTTCTGACTGGACCGGACGCTAACCTGATTCGTGTAAGGCAGGCTATTTCAGTTGTGAAGTCGAAGATAACGGGAAGGTAATGATAAGAGGAGTGACAACGACGGGCGAAACGCGAGTTTATCGGTTTTCCCAGGTGTTTGAAATGCAGACACGGAATCTATGTCCTCCAGGACCTTTCTCCATCTCATTTCGGCTTCCGGGTCCTGTGGATCCCGAGCAGTTCTCCGGAAGTTTTGGAACTGACGGGATTCTTGAAGGAATGGTGATGAAGAAGTTGCAGAAACAAACTGTGTAGACACGGGAGTAACATTTCAAAGGGTATATGGTTATGTTTGGTATAATGTTCGGTTTAGGAAATCTAAAACCGGTTGGTTAAGACTATCTCAGCCGGTTTGATCTTTGTTTTTTTTACTAATGCAATAATGGATGTGCATATTAGCAGGAAAGGAAATAAGATGCGCAACGCAATTGGGAAAATAGGGAAAAAAACCGATACCCTTCTTTTGTTAAACTATAAATAGGGTATACCGTTAGTCGTTAGAAGAATCAGTTTGGTAACCAAGATTTGGTCTGGTTTGATAATTTTGGGTAAACTTCTGGTTTACCAACGGTTAGATGGAACCACATATTGTAGTATGTTAACAACTAAACCGATTCGGGTCATAATGATTGATCCGTTATTGGTTTGGAATTTTGATAAACCGAGACAATATTAGGGGCAACGAAGCAAGCGATTCTCACTGAACTCAACATTAGCTTATAAAACATAAATGAGGTATTTTCGATTGTATCGTAAGTTCTGTAGAACCGCATCATATACATTAACCATAAACCGGTTTGGGTCAGGTTAAGCCGGTTCGGTTAGCAATCTTGAGAAACAGAGAAAAGATTAGGACCGGCGGAACTGTGAATCTGTGATCAGCATTTCCGGAACTAACCTTTCTTTTATCTTCAAAACACGAATTTGCAAGCTTGTATCGTCAAACGCCAAACGCTTGTCAAACGCAGACGCTAAAATCGCGTTTTTCAAAAAAGATAAAAGGACCAGTTTGGATTGAAGGCATATCTAACAGGATAAAAGAGAGGCGGTAACAGGAAACCAAGAAACAAAGAGCTGTCAAGCAAACATTTTTCTTACTTTGCCAAAGCTTAGGTTTCTTCTACTACTACACACATCGGTCTCCAAAGAACCGATGTCAGAAGTTGTATTTACATTATGTTTGATCCTTCTTTCTTGTAACATGTCTGGATCCAAGGAAAAGAGATTCCAACCCGAAAGCTCCTCTTCTGGAATCCCTGCAAATACCAGAACCATACGACTCTGTCACTGACATAACCCAACATATGTAATGGAGTTAGATTCTGTATCAACTAATCATTGATCAAAGACAATAAGCCGAGTCGAGTTCTTGTGTTTGAATGCGTTTCCTCATGGCAAAAACCACCTGAAACGAAGCTAAAACTCACAGTTTCTTAGGCGAAAGCTAATTCTCCGGAGTTTCCTGTTGCTCATGTCCCTGCTGTTGCCACATTGGTTGAGCCATATACGGGTTAGACGGGTAAGCGCTCGGGTTACCCATCACCATACCCGGGTTCCCGATTGGAGCAGTGGCTGCAGGCAAGTACCCGTAAGGGTAACCAGCAGCTGCAGCCTCGGGAATCGTCCCCCTCGGGATAGTCCCCAAGACCTCATCCCGAAGATCCTCGCGTGGAACAATATCCACCAAGAAATCGAAGATATCGGTTCTCGTCACAGCAGCGGCAATATCATTCTTCTGCAGCGTCCGCCTCTTGTTCTCTTCCGTGTGGTTCCACGACCTGAGGGTGAGCTCGAGGATGAACATCTCGCAGGCCCTCGCGAACACCACAGGGGCCTCGGCCGAGATCATGCGTACGTCCTCGTCGGCCTTCATGATCTTCTTGATTCTTGCCAGCGGCAAACTGTGGTTCTTGAAATCAGTGGTTTTCTCAATGTCTTTGTATTGGTTCTCCCAAAAGGCTTGGAGCTGCTGAGCCAGCTGTTGCTGCTGCTGCTGCTGCTGGGTCTGGTGGTACGCCAACTGGCCCGTGGCCATAGCGGCAGCGGCTGCGGCTGCCGTCATAGGGTTGGTTTGGTAAGGGTTTGATCCATAGTTCATGCCTGAGGACTGTCCATGGCCTTGCTGATCCATTTTCCTGCAAAATTGAAGAAATTAAGAGATGAGTGTATATATGTTAGATCATGGGGATTTATTTTGTACAAATTTGATGACTTGGACACTGTTTGAAGAATCTGGGTGATTCCCTACAAAGATGGAAACAAGAACCACTCGGACTTGACCAAAAAAATTAAATCAAATTCGGGGCAGCGAAAATAACATAGAATTGTTGAAAAGGAAGATTCTTT